CCTTCTGGTCGCGGTTGTTCCTTCTCTCGCGAGGCCCCCCAGGGCCCCAGGGTCAAGCTCGGCCCGCTTCGAGATACTAGCCGAGATGATTTCAATGTCGCGTTCATCGCGCGCTACTTGTATGCCTTTCGGCTATTTTCCGCCCGCGGCAGCCCCGAGCTGGCTGCTCGAGACATGCCGCGGCTCGTTGAAACTGTCAGGGTCGCCCTTCGCCTACCGCCGTTTGGACCCCATTTTCGCTTCTGGGCTCAGCGGTGAACTCTGAGGCGCATCGGCGGAGAACTTGTTGCGCCTCCAGGCCGCGCCTCCAGGCCACCTCCTCCTCCTCCTCTTCCTTCTCCTTCTCCTCCTCCTCCTCCTCGCCCCCCTCACTTCCCCGCCATCCTCCTCTTCCTCTTCCCCCTCCCCTCGCAGCTCCTCTTCTGGCGCCTGGCCGCCCCAGCAGCCGGGGGCAAGGGGGGGGCCGCGCACTCGGCGCAGCGCGCTATGGCCCCGCCCGCCCACCTCCAAAAGAGATGCCGGGCCGTTCTTAGAGCGGCCTTAAGCCAAGAGGCAACGGAGACAGAGCAAAGGGCGAGAGGCAGAGGCAGGGCAGGGGAGAGGGGCTACGCCAGGCTGGGAAGCCTTATGTTCTAACGAACGTTCATTTGATTGGTTAATCGACCGATAGACCACTAATCCGATGAATGAATACCGTTTTACGGTTGATCGGTGAACCGGTCAACCGATTAGTTTGCGTCAGTTTATCGGTTTATCGGTCGGACGGATTTCCAGCGACGGATGCCGCTACACTCGATATTGTATACATGTACAGATGAAGTAATCTAGCATTATAGTTGTATCGGATACACGCGCCACTCTACCAATCGAACAAGTAATCAGTAGATCAGCCCACCGATATAATAATCTACCACCAATCGATCGATATATGCATATGTTTATATCGGAGGTTGGGGGGTGAGATCGCAGTGTAACGGAGCCCCCCCGCCGGGAAATAGAGCTTCGAGTTCGCGCTCGCGCCGCGCGCGCGGGCGAGGCGAAGCTGCGTGGGCCAGCGAGAGGAATTCACCCTGCTGTCGCTAGGAGTCCGCCACCACAAATGCCCCCCCCCCCCCCCCGGCCTGGTCAAGTGGCAGCCCACGTTGTCCCGTCGGTTGCCCGCTGGTTGCTCATCATGGCTGCTCATCACGGTTGCTCATCATGGTTGCTCATCAGTGTCCCGCCGGTTGCTCATCATGGTTGCTCATCATTGTCCCGCTGGTTGCTCATCATGGTTGCTCATCATGTTTGCTAATCATGGTTGCTCATCATTTTCCCGCCGGTTGCTCATCATGGTTGCTCATCATTGTCCCGCCGGTTGTTCATCATGGTTGCTCATCATGGTTGCTCTTCATTGTCCCGCCGGTTGCTCATCATGGTTGCTCATCATTGTCCCGCCGTTTGCCCATCATTGTTGCCCATCATGGTTGCTCATCATGGTTGCTCATCATTGTCCCGCCGGTTGCTCATCATGGTTGCTCATCGTGGGACGCCATCATGGTTGCTCATCATGGGACACCTTCTCTGGCTGCTCCTCCTCGTATCCTTCCTTTTTTTTGTTTTGAAAAAAATGTCTAACCGAGTTACTTAAATCTTTATTTCGGCTCAAGGGCTCAGGCCATGCGGCGCAAGTCGGTCAGCTCGTCGCCTTTTTGCTAGTTCATCGCCCCCCCCCCCCCCCCCAGAGGACGGCGGCCACTTTCATTTGGCATCTTGGGCTGGGGGGTGCCGTTCTTGGGCCACTTAGTCGTCGGAGGACAAATAAATGCCGTCATTTATTGGCCACGCCGTCCTTCCAGTTCCCCTGCTTGTGTGAATTTGCATGTGTCAGCATCTCCTCATCGTCGCCACCGCCATCGCCATCATCATCATGACCGTCTTCATCTTCATCCCGCCTCGTCCTCCTCCTCCTCCTCCTCCTCCTTCTCCTACTCCTCCGCCCCCTCCTCCTCTTTCTCCAGCCCCTCGCTGTCCTCCTCCTCCGGCTCAAGGCGCCCGCTGCGGTCGCGCCGCCCCCCCAGGGCGCCCCCTCGCGCATTTCTGCGGCCGGGTCATCCACGAGATGGGGGGCCGCGTGGATGACGCGAAGAAGGCGGAGCTCATGAAGTACGCCGCCAGTCTTGGAGCCCCCGCCAGGAAGCCCACGGCGCCGACGCAGCGGCGCGCAGTCAAAGACGCGCGCGAGGATTGCAAGCTGCGGGAGGCCGCTCAGCGGCAGCCTTCCCCGGCGCGCGCGGGCGAGCCAGGCGCTGCCAGCTCCGACCTCCGACCCGGCGGCGCCGTCAGTTTCGCGCGGGCCCGCGTCTGTGCTGGCCCCGGCGCGCGTGGCCGAGCCAGGCGCTGCCAGCTCCGGCCTTGCCGCGCCGCCCGTTTCACGCGGGCCCGCGTCGGCGGGGGCGCCAGGTGCGCGCGCGGGCGGGCCCGGCTCTTCCAGTTTGAGCCAGGCACAGGTAGCGCCGTCCGCCCCCGCCACGGCTGCGCGGAAACCGGTCGCGGGGGCAGCCGATGTCACTCCCAGCGACGTGCGGAACATGAACCGGAATGAGTTGCGTGCACTGGCGCCCTCGTTAGGGGTCGGGACTCGGGAGAACGCGTAGAGCTCGGAGGCGCTCCGGGCGGCGCGCTGTCGCGCCCTCCCGCAGGCCCCGCAGCGACAGCGCGCCCGGGCGGGCGCGAGCGATCTCCAGGCGCTGCCAGCTCCGACCTGGCGGCGCCAGCAGCTTCGCGCGAGCCCGCGTCGGGGTCTCGCGCTGCCAGCTCGAGCCAGGCGCAGGTTAAATCGCCCGTCTCCGCCACCGCGACGCAGAACCCGGCTGCGGGGGCGGCCCATGTCACCTCGACCGACGCGCAGAACACGAACAAGAAAGAGTTGCGTGCGCTGGCGGCCTCGTTGGGGGTCGCAGCTAGGGGCGCCCAACAGTCCACGAGGCTTCTCCGCTCGGCCTGTTGTCGTGCCCTCAAAGGGCAGGTTGGGATAGCGTCCTTTTTCCAGCCTGCCGTGGCCCCAGGTGCCCCAGGCCGAGAAGCAGGCGACGCGCCAGTCTCTGAAAGCGCTTCCGCAGTGGATCCAAACCCAGCGAAGCCGCGCGAACGACCAAGGGCCGTTCGCAAACCGTTGTGGTTGCGTAAACCAGCCTGGTTGTCTGCGCAGACAGCGCGCCAGAAGAAAGTTGGGTAGCGGCGCACTCAGCGCGCGCTCCGTAAGGGTCGCACCCACGACAAGATCCGCGACAAGCGCCCTCAGCGCGCATCCAGTAAGAAGTTGGCAGCTGCCAAGCGGGGCAAGAAACGATATCAAGAGGACTTCGCAGAGAGAGCAAAGCGCAATCATCGAGCGCTGAAATCCCGCAGGGAGGCGCCTCGCGCGAATCGGAGGCCGGCGAAGCCGAAGAGCGCCAGGGCAGAGCGTGCAGGTGTCCTCGGCAGGGGGGGCAGCTGGACGCGGACGGCGGAAGAGTCTGCCAGGCTCTGCCAGCAGGACGGCCCCAGTCACTTACCGCTGTGTTACGCGGGGCTGGACCAGGAACACCAGCGGAGGCTGACCTCGCAAATGTGCTGGTGCCTGGAAGACGCGCAGTGGGCAACGTGCGTGGTGTGCTGGCGTGCGTGGCATGATTTGCCTGCCGAGTGCGAGTTCTCGTGCACGCAGCAGGGGCTCAGGGCGCAGCAGGCTCCGTGGTTTGACCCAGGCGCGAGCGCCATCGCGAGGGCCGGCAAGAAAGGCCACGTGAACCAGTGGCGCCTGGAAGCAGCCGGGTCGGTGGAGGAAGCGCAGTGCTACCTGGCGGCAAACTACCCTTCAGGGGAGTGCGAGAGTATCGCCCGCAGACTGCACGACCCAGAGAAAGAGGATCATCACGATTTGCTGTGGATGTCACATTCACGTGGGCGAAGATCATGTTCTCCCGCCCCCCGCCGGCGAGATGCGCATGCGCGACTTCGCGGCGGGCCCGGTTTGGTGCGCCCCGAGGGGCGATGGGCCCGCGATCGCGCGCGAGCGCTTCGATGGTGTTCCCCCGCCAGGCCCTGCCAGCGAGGAGGCGTTCTCCAGAGTGCTCGGTTTCAGCGCGGGCGAGTTCGCGCACCCGGTGGCCGCACTTTCGGACCACGAGGAAATGGCACTGGCATTGGTGCATCCGCTCGTGCAGGTGCACACCATCCCTCGCACGGGTCAGTTGGCATACGTCGGCCACATATGCAACTTTCGCCAAAAGTTCAGCAAGTTCCTCAAGAGTCTGCCGGTCATGCCTGCGGACATGCCTGCGGTGAACGTTCGCCCCCGTGCGCTAGGCCCTGCCGGCGCCAAGGGGAAGTCGGCGGGCTGGGCCTTATTCAAAGTCGACATCTCCAAACTCAGGCTGCCTTTTTATGGTTGAAGGCGAACGGCCCATATTTTGCGGAAGTTGAGTGGCGGGGCGACGCCGCCGAGGCGTGGGCCGGCGACGACGTGAAGGTGGGCGCGACGCGCGAGGCCGACAGCGACGCCTCCCATGTCCCTCCGGTCACTCCGACATGTTTCGTCAGGTGGATGGAGCACGGCCAGACTGAAGCTGTCGCCGGTGACTTCGGGCATGCGATCGGGAACCGACTGCGGAAAGTCATCTCGGACGGGGATTGCGATGACGAGGGCCCAGGTCCCGCCGGCGCCGCAGGCTCTCGCGCGTGGGCGGAGGTCTGGCGCCTCGTTGCAGATGTGTTCGGGAAGCGCGTCTTTCGCATGGCCACCGCGCTTCCGCAGGATCCATATCCTTGCCGTGGCCTTGGCCGCGCGGGGCATCCTAGACCTGGGTTCCCCTCGGGACGGGGGCGCCGCAGACGCGCTTCGGGCGCTCCGGTCCCTCGACGCAAACGAGTACCCGGTGGGCCTCCACGTGTTCCGCGCCGAGCTGGATGCCGCCATGATGGAGGAGTACGAATAGGGCCCGCAAGTCGTTCACGCTGGCACGACCGCGTCTGCCGAGGCGGGCGACGATGTGGGGCTGCGGCAGGGGGTGCTCGACTCGCTGGCCCACGTGGCGCAGGAGGTCATCGGGCGGCCAGTTGATGAGCCAGGCTCTGCCAGCCCGCGCCCGGACGAGGCGCCTGAGGTGGACGTGGCGATGGCGGGGGATCCATCGAACGACGCGCCGCGACAAGGACCCGCCGACGAGCCCACCGCGGCGCCAGGCTCTGCCAGCGCGTGCCCCGACGAGGACCCGCCGGCCCACGGTCGGCCGGTCAAGCACCCGCGAGTGGATCCTCGGGAGGTGGAGGACCAGCCCGGGCAGGCCATGCGGGAGGACACGCCTGGGCACATTGTGAATGCGTTCCGGGCATTGTTTCCATATGGGGCCGGCGACTATCACGGCGCCAGGCCCTGCCAGTGCCGAACGCTTCGCTTCGAGGAGTGGGGTCGGTATGTGATGTTGTGGCACGACGGCCGGTTCATGCGCCGCACCCGCTTTCGGTGCTGGCCCCTGGACACCGTGCTCCGGGCCATGGTCCCGGGCGCCCAGCGGACCTTCTTCCGCGCGCGCAAGGCGTGCGAGGAGTGCACCCTCGACTCGCTCATGGGCGAGACCAAGCGGCGCGAGCTGGTGCAGCAGATGTCCACTGTGACGAATCTGATCCCGGGATCCATCGGCGAGAGGCGGAAGATGCGTCATGAGCTCGAGGCGATGGTCCACCAGATCGAAGCAGAGACGGCTGATCTCGGAATGAGTGGGGGCGCCGGCAGGATCCCGTCTGGCTTTTGCACACTCGCGTGCAGCGTGTACAAATGGGCACAGTTGCATGCGACGTTGCTCAAGGCGTACCCGTCCGGCGACGCTGGCGATGCTTCATGCAAGGGGCACTGTGCGCAGTGGGGGCCTCTTTCCCCAGGCCCTGCCAGGGAGGCTGCCATATTTTTTTTTTTTTTTTTTTTTTTTTATAAAAAAAAAAAAAAAAAAAAAAAAAAAAAAAAAAAAAAAAAAAAAAACGCATTACCAGCTGGCTGTTCGGGATCCCGGAGCGGTGGCGCGGCATTGCGCGGTGAAGCTGGAGATGGGCTGAGCGCCGCGTCGCGCAGCCAGCGGCAAACCGAACGACGCAAGTCGCCCAAGCGAAAGAACAACAAAACATCCGCCACGTCATCCACACCATCATCGCCCATCTGCACCACGTTCATCACAGTTGTCGTCATAGGCCACCCCCTCCCCCACCCCCCCACACCCTCCTTATCGCCCGCAGGGTGGTCGTATAGGTATATATATATATATGCAGATCGATCATTATACTTATATACATATCTACCTATGCAAGTATTTATATAACTATGTTTCATGCGTTCAACCATCGGGACAACCATCGGGGCAACCATCGGGGCAACCACCGGGGCAATCACCGGGGCAACCATCGGGGCAACCATCGGGACAACCGCAACCATCGGGACAACCATCGATTGATCTATCTATCTTTCTATTAACCATCAGGAAAACCATTTAGACAAGCATCCGGACAACCATCGGGACAACCATCGGGACAACCATGTGGACAACCACCAGGACAACCATCGGGACAACCATCGGGGCAACTATCGGGACAACCATCGGGGCAGCCATTGGGGCAACCATCGGGACAACCATCGGGACAATCATCGGGACAACCATCGGGACAACCATCGGGACAACCATCGGGACAACCGCCGGGACAACCGCCGGAACAACCGGGGGCCACGCCCGGCGCACGGGGGGGGGCGGCCTTTTCGGCAATCTATGGTCTCTACTAGGGATGAAAGTCGCGCAGCTTCGCGTCGCACGCACGATACGAACCGATACCGATTTCCGTGTTGGGGCCACTTCCGTTCTTACCCCCCAATTTCCGATCCCGAGCAGTCAGGGCAGACGGTGAGCGGGTCTGCGGGGCTCCATTCCGAACGTTCTCTTTGGACCTGACAAGGCTTTGTCCTCTTCATCTGGAGATGTTTGGTTAGGGGCGTAGCTGAGAGGCACAATTCCAAAGGTATCAGCCATTACAATGCCAGCCAGCACAGTCGATTTGGATGATGGACCAGCCAGTTCTGGGCAACCCCGAGAAACGCGAGTGAAACACACTTCCATCCACAAAGACGGGCCCCGAGAACTTCAGCCCGCAGGGACCCAAATCCATATACATATACACATACATATACATATACATATACATATACATATACATATATATATATATACATATATATATACACATATATACATATATATACATACACATGTTGAACCTCGATCCTGGCATCGCGGATCTTGAAGTATTTTGTTGGGGAGTGGTCAGGCCATGACAGAAAAACTCAGCGGCCGTGCCGCCGTTGGCCTGCATCTGAGCCGCTGCCTCCCGGACGTGCTGGGCTCATTTTTCCCTGCGGTGCGCCGCCAGGCATGGACATGAGTAAAGAATACGGTGGAGTGTGCAGCGTCCACCATCGAGCAAACAGCGCTCATGCTGGGCCTCGCCATGCCTGAACAATCTGCCTTCAGGCTACACGAGAACGACAGTCCGTGAACTTCGAGCGCGACAGTTTTTGGCATCATGATCCCTACACATGCCATGCACAACTGTTAATCCTGCCCTGGGTCCACGCACTGAGACCACGGTCTGACTGTGCGTGAGAGGTCCCTGCCATCGTCCCAGCCAGGCCTCGCTGGGCCTCTCCCAGGAAGTTCCGAGAAGGCCGACATCGCCCATTGTTTAGCAACCTAAACAGAATGCACAACCCAATCTCTGGGGGAGACACGGAGCCTAAGACCGATGGATGTGCCAGCTGGAGTGCGCCCTCAGCTTCGAGTGCCGTGATCCTCGGCTGGTGCAGCCTGGTGTCCGAAATCCCCGTGACCGCGCCCCCCCCGGCGCCGTCCTCGCAGTAGGAGACCCCCTCCTGGCAGTGCTGAGACCGGCGCCAGCGGCCCTTAGAGCCAGCGGCCTTAAGAGCTAACCTCTCGTCCTGCTCACCTACTCTTCGCGCTGACCCGTCGTTAGCATCTGCGCCGAGATATCGGGTCCATGTGAGGCGGTCGTCAGCAACGAGTGACCACCTACTATTTAGCTGGACAGCTAACTCGGCGGCGAACGCTAAAACATCAATGTTGGTCCCATTGATTTTGAGACGTTTTTGTTGGAGCCGCTGGACAAAGGTCATCATGGCCTCGGAGAACTGGCTCAAAACATGTTTGCCGAGCGCCTGCAGAAGGTAATCGCCAACCATGCTCTGGAACCGTGCCTCCTGCAGCAACGGTGCCGTTCGCCGCGACAGGGGATGAGAGTCCCCCCCCTGCACGCCGCCCTCCTCGGGAGGCGTTGCCTTGAATTGCGGCATTTTACAAGCCTGAGGTAGATCCCTGTCAGAGCTGCTTCTATCCGAAGCTCTTCGAGAGAAGTGAACTCGTAGTATTTCGGAAGGTCCACGAGTCCGCTGGCTGCAGAAGACCCTTTCAGCCCTGCAAGCCCTTGCGCGACGTTGTGAACCAGGCCTGACCTATCACGCGCGTGCTCAGAGTCCCCCCAGAAGGCTTGCTTCAGGATGGTTCGCTCCCAACGACGCGCGACAACCTGGCGACGCCTCGATCAACCGCGGATCCAACGCGAGAAGCGAATTACCGGTCGGTCTCCTCATGAGGGCCAGCTTGCTCATAACAGCGACTACAGTAGCAGGGCCCAGAGGTCTTCTTCCTCTGGCTGACTCTCCCACGCATGCAAGATGTCCAGAAAGGCTTGCCTACAGGAGCCAGGGAGATCGGCCATCTGGCGAGGGTGAAACCTGTCCCATGCGAGGCCTGCCGTCGATGCGTAATCGTGAATTCACCCTCCCCAATGGTTCCAGAGTGATGGGCGGACTGTCAGCATGCAGACCTAGAACTGGTGCTGCTTCCTCCCCCTCCACATGCCTTCTCGCGAGCTGACCGCCAGCCTCGCGGCAGGTGTCCCGCGTGCCACCCGACACTACGGCAGCAGCTCCAGGGCCGAGCAGGTCGGCGGCAGAAGGGGGGCGAGATATGTCCCACAGGTTGGGATGCTCCTCAGCATCCCTCCCAGGGTTGACCTAGAGTGGCGCCCTGGTCTCCTGTCCAGAAAGGGGCAAGGCAGGAGGTGGTGGGTCTTCCTCGGTCTGAAGAGCCGTGATCATACGGGAGGCATGGTTGTCGCCGTCCTAAACCAAGGATTGCGCCCACTGTCGCCAATCTCTAGCTGCTTCGGAACGGTCGGACCTCTGAAAAAAGCAGCCTGATGGCATCAGGAAATTTTGACGCGCGCGCGCGCTCGCCTCTTCAGTGCCACGCGAGAGAAGCCCAACCGCCTAGAGGCCCATCCTCGGGCCAACCGTCCAGCGCGATGCTAGCGACCACTCTCTTCTGTCTGCGCAGCGGAGCGATGCCAGGGCACCGTTGATGTCCAGCTGCTTCGGCCACCTCGACCAGGCGAAAGGCCGCCGAATATAATCTCACCCACCCTTTGTAATCCTGACTGGAGTGATGTTTGGGCGACCTATCTCAGGCCTGCTGCAGAGAGTCGCTCGCAGCTTTGATCCCTTCAGCTCTTCCTCTCCAAGCATGCTGGCTCCAGGTCGTTAGGTCGTGAAACTCAGCCAGGCACGCATCGGCGTGACATAACCAGGACCTACGCGCCTCAACGAGATCTTCCGGGAGTGCCACTCCGACTTCTCAAGGCCATTCGGAAACTTTCGCCGCGGCCTGAGCAGGCCGCGATGGCCGGTGTTTCTCTATTAGAGACACGGAGGACGGGTCGCACGGGTTTGCATGCCAAGCCCGCTCAGGCCAACCTGGACACGTATATGCCCATGCTGTCGGCACCATTGCTCTGTCGAACGGCGCCCGTCCTCCTGCGCAGATGCCGAAGTCGTTCTCGCGGCCGCCGAAAGTGGGGGCGCCCGTCGTGGGCATGACTCCAATGGTCTTCTCCGTCCAGCTCTGCACGTCGCCGGGTAGCACATTGCAGCCGCCTAGCATGATCCAAGGACCTGGGGGCGATCCCATGAACACCATGAGGCCACCAAGGATCCCAACGTTCTCGGAGTTGGGCCTGACGCTGGTGACTAGGTACAGGAGATCACGTGGAGTGGCATCAGAAGGCCACCGTTCAAACCTTGCTGCTGCCAGCCCGTGACTGGGCAGCCAAAGCTGTGACGAAGGCGGTTGACACATAGATGCCATCATACTGCGCAACGCAGGATGCTCATAATGATTTTTTGAGCAAGGAGGCGCCAAGATGAGTGCTGGGTCGGCGGTATCAAACGCTCTACCGCTGCCGCATTAGACCTCGCAGAGCAATGTGATGTACATGATTGGGTTCGTGATTTTCATGGCACTAAGAAACAAACCCCGGGGAAGATGCATGCAACTACCGATGGGCGTTGGACCAAGAGGCTCCTGGAGTGGCATCCGTGGCACTTTGTGCATGCAGCGGTCTGTTGGACACCAGCGCAAACGCTGGAGCGACAACTGAGAGCACAAATTAGCGGTGCACGCGGCCCTGCGTCTAGCTCGGGCAGACCCGTCTGCCCTACGGACCTTCTCTCTCTCTTTCTCTCTCGCTCTCTACTAAGACCTGCGACTCCTCCATTGGAATTGAGAGTCCCTCACCCGTCGATGCTGGCAAGTGCGCCACCCATGCCCGCGTTTCTCAGACCATCCAGTTGCCAAGGAGAGAAGGGCGTCTGTCTTGATCCTGCGCTCTTGCACGCACGCCGTATCAGGCACCGTCTGACAATTGCTCTCCTTGGCCCATTCAGTAAAGCCTGCGCTGCCGACCACGTCGGTGACTTGGTCGACCAAATGGAAATACGAAGCGGCTCCTAACTGCTACGCGCGCGCTTGGTCGTGGTGGGGAAGGCGCCAAGCAGTCTCGTGGCCTTCTGCTTGTCGGCAATGTCAGCGTCGGCCTCTCGCAGCATGTTCTGAACTAAGGTTTTTATCTTCAACGTCGATCATGCAACTGGCGTCGACTTCCATGCCGCCGCCTGGCCCAGGGTTATTGCTTGCAGCAGCAGCAGACCCTGGAGCAGTATCCGCAGCCTCCTCGGCCTTGGCTTTGGCAGCTCGCTCCTTCTCCTCGATGAGCTCGGTGGAGGTCGCCTGCTACAGACCTGTGGCGTCGGCTTGGAACTGCTGCGACGCTCGTTCGAGCATCCGGTGGAAATCCTCGAGCAGAGACACGCTGTTGATCGTTTTGCTCGCCACCTCCGCACTGCTGTGGATGACCCGTTTCGTCTGATGCTCTTCGATGGTTTCTCGGATCCTGTCGAGTGTTTCTTTGTGCACCGCAAGCGCTGGTTGCCTGCATATTGCTTGACCTCCTTCAGCGCCAGCCCTGCTTCCTCAACTCTCGCCTGCGCTGCATCAATATGCTTCTTCTTACGAGTCTCCCTCCCGAGTAAGTCCAGGAACGACTTCTTGACGAGGTCGACATGCTGCGAGTCATCGTCGGACCGCGGTTGTGCCGCGCAGGCCGCTACTTCTTCCATGGATTTCCCCGAGTGCTTTACGAAGGCGCGGAGCATTTTGACAAGGGCTTCATTATCGGGAGGGTCACGTTTGCCTGTGTCCTTTCTTGCGCATGGACCTCCGCGGCTCTTCCCTCTATTTGTATCGCTGAGGCAGGGGGGGAGCTTCAGCCCAGTCGCCTATTGTCCAGGTGCTGGCCGCCACCCTGGTCGTCGCGAGTTACTCTGAGCCTTGGGAGGTCCCCGTTTCCCACATTCACGGCACGATAAGCGCCACATGAAGTTGGCATAGCGGCATTGGGGGTGGTTACAGATCCATGTGCGAAATTGTCTACCGCTTCCGCCATCGCGGCCCTCTTCAGGCATGGGCGCTGGTATGGAATCATTGGTTTTCGGCCGCTGCGCCACTGCCAAGTGCGCGACCGCACAAGGCCAACACCAGAGACCTGGAAATGGCTCTTCATGGAGATGAGGGGGAAGAGAGTTTGGATGGGGGAATGGAGGGTGAGGATGAAAAAGAGGGGAGAAGGGGGTGCAAGTGTGGAAAGACGGACGAGGGAGAGGATGAGGAGCAGGACGGGGAGGAAGAGACGGAAATGCGACAAGGAGGAGAAGGAGGAGGAAGAGGAGGAGAAGGAGGAGGAAGAAGGATGACCCGAGGGAAGGCGACCAGTGGGGGCAGATGGAGGAGGAGAGGGGAATGAGGGAGAGAGGATCGGAGGCAGGAGGGCTAGAGGGGGATGAGGGAGCGAGGAGGGCCAAAGGGGAGGAGGAGGGAATACTGGATGCAGGGGGCCACGAGGGAGGGGGGGGGGGCTAGACGGAGGATCTTTGGTGCAAAGCATGTATTTTTCTCGCCAACTTTGCGGCGCCACTCGAAGAGCAAGTTCATCGTTGCGGGGATGTGTCGTTGACGTTCAGCATCGGGCGTCGAAGAAACATATTGCACTCCATTCTTGACCCATCTACACGCAAGAAGCCAGCGCTCTGGCACATATGACTCGAACAGTGCAGCATCCAGCTTGGACTCTGTGTGCACACTTGTGCTGGTTGAGCTCTAGTCTCACCTCCCCATGGATCCCATCCTGAGTTCTTGCGTCTCGCGATGTGAGATGCCAGGGGTTCTTGCTGTTGCTAGTGGGGCATGCAGACGTTGGCCCCGTCTGGGTCCGCGATAGTTCCCCGGAGCCAGAGCCGAGGCATCCCCGAGATCGGGGCGGCATTCAGATCCGCCTCGGTCGGCTTGGATCACGTGAGTGCCACATTGGAGCCTTACTTGGGCGACAGTCCGTTCCAGAGTGGTGGACTCTGTCGTCGAGGTCTTATTGGCATTTCCCCGTCCCACGAGAAACGCCCACTCCAAGGGCCTCTCCTTGCTCGCGGGCGGCAGGTTGTGGCCGGCGCCTTCGGCACTTCTCACACCCCTGGCGCGCGCCTTCCCCCCAGGTGCCCTGCAGCCTCTGCCATCGCGCTTCACCGTCAGGTGCCCGCAAGCTCTCCTCCTGCTCGGGGGATGTGGAGGTGGAGGAGGAAAGGGTCGGGCCTCCTGGAGGACCCTCGTCGCAACGGCTCGATTCCCCTCGGAGTCCTGGTCGGAACGCGCACCAGGAAGAGGTTTGGGGGGCACGCGCCCAGCGGCCGGTGGGGCCGAGGGAGTAAGGGAGGTGATGTGCGGGAGGAGGCGGAGGAGATGGCGGTGGACTGGTCGTGTGGAGGACGCGGGGGGCTGCGACGAGGGAAGAAGGGTGGGAAAATGGGGAGGAGGACGAAGAGAAGTAGAGGAATGACGAGGAGACTGATGAGTTGGATGGGCCCGTTGGAGCGACAATTGGTGTGGCATTCACATCGGGTGCCGTCCGTTTCATGGCGAGCATCGTCTTCTCCAACAGCTAAGGTTGTCAGTTCCAGACAGTATTAGCTTGGCGCCATCATATGGCGTCCAACATTCACAGCGGCAGCTGGTTGGCATCAGCAGCTTGTGGGCATTGGTAGTTGGTGAACACCTGCTGCTGATGAGCGGACGGTGGAGCCGTTCTGGATGCATATGATGCTTGTTGTTTTCATTCAGGTTGAAACGATATGGCAGACATACTAGCAGTAGCGGTGTGCGGGATGATATGCTATTATTGTCTAGCAGGTAGTGGCACAACATAGCTTGATGGGACTGAATCTCGTTGCGCATGCAATAATTTCGGGTTCGTTGCAACAGCTCGTGGTGATAGGATGAGGTGCTTCACGCTGCACAATATTGTCCCTGGCGTACTGTCCGCTGCAACCTAGACAATAGTGGATATCTCTACATGTTACATGGCCAGTTTATAAGCGTCGATGTGGATTTCGTAACACGTTCGTCAGCCTCATCACTGTCACTTAGCGTTACGTGTGCGGAGGGATGGTGATTGGTGCATTGGCGATTTGTACTCTCGCTTGCAGGTCTCGGGTTGGCGCGTAAATTGAACGGCTGGCCCGCACTATAATTTGTGTTGTGTCGTTTGGTCCTTTTTGGAGGAGGATCTCGCATGATCTCCGAGCTGCATCCAATGAGCTGCATCATACCTCGGAAGAGACGAACGATAGGACAAGGGATTGGAGGCGAGCGCATTTGGCTTCACCATCCGCGCCCCCTCCATGGGGCGAGAGACTGGCTTCAGACGACCGGCCAGGCGAGGCACACGGCGTCGTGTGCTACCGGCGCAGGAAGGGCGGCGCAGAGGGCGGCTGCAGCCAGGGCGTGTGCTGGGAGTGCATGGAGAGCAGGCCTCTCGCTTCTGCCGGCCGGAGTGGGACACCTGTGTGGTCGGGAACGGGCCATGATCACCCCGAAACACACTCGAGGCCCGTCTGTCCGATCTTCTGGGTGAGGGGCCCCTTTTGAGACGCCCCTCTTCAAAGCAGGCCGGTCTGCCAAGGTTCTCCCTGGGAGGTTGTGTTCCGTGGTGGTTCGTCGAGGCTCATCTGCTAGCTGCAGGAGCTTCGGGCCAGTCTTCCTTTGGACTTGTTGGGCTCCCCGCACGCTGCAACCTGCAATCCAATGCTCCGCGATGATAAGAGTTGCTTTGTCAGAGGTAACTAAACTGAGATCGACGGAGAGGAGAGCCGAGACTCTTGAAGAGAGTCTCCCGGACTTTGGTATCAGCGTTGAAAGCCTTGTTGTGCGTGTGGTGCATTTCCGCGACTCGTGTGTGTGGTGTTGTGCTCACCTCTTGACGAGTCTTTCGAAGGCCTCGCTCTGAGCTGGGCATGGTGCGGACCACCAGGGACGAGCTGGAGTCCCTCGGGAAGCAGGACCTACCCCTAGTAGCTCTCTCGGCCCCGTTCTCTCCCTCCGTCCTCCCCCTTCCTCCTCCTTCCCCCCCCATTTCCCCGTCCAATTCCTTCCTGCGTATCCCCTTGCCGAGGCGAGCGCCAGGCTGGCTCGCCAGGCAACGAGAATTCGCAGACGCGACGGGCAGACCCCGAGTGCGGCCTGCTGTGGAGCCCAGCTCGCCGCGCACGTTGCCCACCCCCACCCCCCACACACGAGCCCGCTGCGGAGCCGAGCGATAGATGGTGTACAGCGTCTGGCGGGGCCCCACGCGTGCGGGCCATGCTGATGTGGCGACGCTGCCCGCTTCTCCCGTCAGGCTGTCGACGACGGCGGACTCCCGCGCCTCCTATTCTAGCACGGCGCCCGCTGCCGCCGGCCGCACGCCTGCAGCGCAATCATGGCGCGCAGATTCGTCCGCGCGCGCCGCGCAGCCGTGGACGGCGTTTGTCCGCCTCGCTGGCGGCGTTGGAGTCGTCGGGGTCCACATCTTCTTTGCTCTCAGTTTGCATTTGTTCCAGGTCTTTGTCATTTAGACGGGCTGAGAGTCGTTGGGGCCCGACCACCACCACCACCACCACCACCGCCACCACCACCACCACCGCCACCGCCACCACCACCACCACCACCACCACCACCACCACCACCACCACCACCACCACCACCACCACCACCACCACCACCACCACCACCACCACCACCTACAGCCGTCCTCGTGGATATTCGTGAGTTTCGTCAGTGCCCTACCATGACGGTGGCGCATACTGGAGACGGCGTCTCCCCTTGCGCTGGCTTTAGCCTCCTGAGGCCGCGGAACCTGTTCGGAGGCTTGTCCGTTACCGTCGATGGCCTCTGCGGGAGCCTAGGCACCGCCTTCTGCTGCTGGCTGTGTGGCCCCGCTCGCGGCACTGGAGGTGCTGGCGGCAGCCCCAGTCGGCGGGGGCACGTCTGACCCTAAAATGGCGCGTCGGTTGACTTCGACGATGCCCAGACTGGCCCAGTGGTCGCGGAGCTGTCACTCCGTCAATTGCTCCCGCCATCCCGCCCCTCGCCCGCTTGTGGTGCTCATTGCACGGCTCTGGAAAGGTAGTAAATATGCTCCTCACCGCCTCATCATATAGTTGCCTCTCCTGCTGCCTGCCTTGTCATACCTTGACATTAGTATTACTGTATACCGCATCTACCTTTGCTGCTTGAGTGAGAAAAGGAGCGTGCCGCTGCGCGCCCGCGTCCGGGCGTCGGCCAGCCGGCCTCCTCCCTTCCTATATTTGAGTACAGTTGCATAGCGGATAACACATTGTTTCATCGATGTCTCATCCCATACCCTCTACCACTGAGCGTAGTAAACATGAGACCTTAATTCCTTTGGCATCCCACCCCGATTCTCAGAGGAAAGACTGGTTATCAGCCGAAGCTCTCCAGGAGCTCGTCTTCGGCGGCGCAGCCTTTTTCCCATCAGTCAGAGAGATTCCGGCATGCTTGCGCGTGTTGCACAGAGATTCCGGCATGCCTGCTGTGAAGTCGGCTCCGCCGTCTTGTGCTCCAGTCAGTGCTCTGGTCACGGGGGCGGGGGATCAGACATTCAAGGAAAAAGGGGGCACCTGCGGCCAGTCCGCCAGGTGCCGACGGTGTCACGAAAGAGGGGGCAGTTGTTCCCTCCCTTCTTCGAAGGCCAAAACAGCAGGTTCCAATAACTTTGCTTGACATATTCTGGCAACTTTGGTGTGTACGAAGGAGTTCCAGAGGAAACAGGGATGTCGTTCGTGACAGCGTCGGCCTGCCCCGTGTGGTTGGTTGTGGCACGTCCTGAAGAGGATGGCCAACCACACGCCGAAACGCTGAGGGCGAACTGGACCAGGGGTGCCCGAATCGTTGGGCATACTCAGTCCGAGACCAAACGAGCATCCCAAAACCAAGACAATGCCGATTATATTGCACTTGTGTTGACATGTAGTTGCTTTAGGAATCCTTCCATTCAGAGTTGGCATGATGTTGCACTTGTTGTGATCTGACAGGCAAATAACGGGTTATCAGCCCAAGCCCGCGACAAAGTCGCAATTTAAATGAGCTATGATGAGACAGCCGAATTGCCCGCGACATTACATGATGTGCACCGAGACGGGCAAGAACAACAGGACAGCGGCCCAAGGGAGGGCCGCTCTCTTCCTTCTTTTATTCCTATTCGGGTTTATCGTGGAAGGGTAGCGGGAGAAGTCGTAGATTCATCTGCAAATGATTCTCCCACTCGTATTCCGATCAGAGATCGTGAACAGACCCCAGACCCGATAAGGCGGAACGGCCCAGACGTTAATGCCAGGCGAAGAGCCTTTTCATCTTGGATTGCTGAGTCCTCAGAAACACTACATTCCAGCCCGATTGCCATGCGTTCTATTGAGCTGGCCGCTGGCCCAGCCAGTAGGTCGCGAGACGTAAAGGAGTCCGGCGGTGCGCCCCCCGCCGTCCCAGACGGTTGGGGTCGTCCGCACGGGACTCACCCCGCCCCGATAGCCTTGAACGGGCAACCCGGTCAAGACAGCGACGAACAGCTTGATGACAAGGGCGATGTCAACTCGATGGAAGCTGACATGGAGTACGTTGATTATCAAATGTCACCAAGCCGAGTTTTGCCGCTGATGAACGCTGCCGACCATCCCGTCCCGGACGGAAGGTCATCCCCAGGACAGGAGACCATTGACTACGATCACCAGGAAGCTCTTGGGAAGGCACTTGCGGAACCAGATCTACACACCACGGTCAGCGACCTAGACCGCGAGGTCCCAGCGGTACATGAGCCATGGGGAACATCGCTACCGTCCCCCACTCTCCCAATCGCTGAGGTACCGCCCCAGGCGGCAGAGGTTGAAATGAGTTCCCAACATCATGTACAGCATGACCGGGAGACCACGGGTCGAACGCCAGCTCCTCAACATGAGAAGCACAGGAACGAATATTATGATTTGAATGCTTCCCCGGTTCAGGAGGGGTTCTACCGGGCTGCCGTCGCCCCAGGCGATTGGCAGCCGTCAGTGCCCGCGGTAGTTGAGGGCGATGATACGTTTGATCCCCCAGCCTCACTCCCAGAGTTGATTGAACAGGATGAACGAGATGGGGCGCTTCGAGAGGTGGCCGAGCCACCAGAGAGCACGCGCGCTCGCCCTCGATCGTCTGCTTCGAGCAGGGGGCGGCCCAAGATCCCACGATCTGGTGCCCGCTCGACTTCGAGGAGCAACAGTGCCATTTCCATGCGCGAGGCGCGCTGGATTCCAGGCCCTAATTGCCCGCCCCAGGCGGAGAACAGGTGCCCGGGGAAAGCTCACAAACAGGGGGAACCTTGCAAGCGCCCAGTGCGTGGGCACTGTTCTGACGCGTGTCCCAATTGCGGCAATCAATGGTTGCGTGAGGATTGCTTCCAGATGGAGGAACATAGCTGCCAATGCCTCTTCATCCAAGCCATGCAGGATCAGGCCAGAATCATGGGGGCTAAGAGACAGCAAGAAACCGTGGTCTTAGAAGCCCAGAGGGCCGAACAGGCCCGACTGGATCGAGAGGGGGCGAATGCAGTTATTGCCGATGTTCAGGAGAGGTTCGAGGCTGACAGAATCGCCTTGACCCAAGCTGCCAGTCGGCGGGAACAGGAGCTGATGGAACAAGTGCCCCATCAGACCGCGGCTGCCCAGCAGCGTGCGGAAGAAGCCGAGAACAGGTTTGCTGAAGCGTTATCTTCTGGACGACGGGCTGCCCTGGCGGCAAACAGTCAATCTATAGATGCCAAGTTCGCCTGCGCCGCTGTTGCGGCGGCGAGAATGCAAGGGGAGAGGGCCGCGATAGCCAAGGCAGAACATGAAAGAAAGGAGCTCCAAGACCAACTTTGCGCTGCCAGGCTAGAAGCGGCCAGTGCACAGACTATAGCTGCGACGGCAGTTGATCAGAATAATCAGTATCGAGAAGAGCTCAAGTCGCATGAACATGCCAGGGCATCGCTTCGGCGGATACAGTTAGGTGACGCAGCGCGCCTGCCGGCCAAGCTGGCAGGGGCGAGCAGACGACCATCACCGGCGGCCCAGCCGTCTGGTGCCACGTCGTCGCAGGCCCAGCCTAGCTCGGCGCCCCTAGATGGCGGGATGCCGCCAACGTTGCGGGTAAAAGCTACCCAGCAGCCGCAGCCCGCGAGAGGGGTCACTGACGAAAATTGTTCAGTATGTTCGAATCCGAAGGTCGGATCATGCGCCACTTGCGGATCGCCAAGCTGTAAAAACCGTTTCGATATGAGCACGAAGCGCTGCGTCGCTTGCACTCAACGAAAGAGCCCGCCCGTGGAACAGGCGGAGTGGGATGAACAATGGAAGCGACATAGCGCTGATCCCAACTTTCGGGCCCAACAGGAGAAGCTCCTCGATGATATTTACGCTGACAAGTGCAATATGCAAAGGGTGAAGGAGCAAGCTGAGGAACAGCTTCGATTGAGCTCAGAAAGGTCAGCTGCCAACCTACGTGAGAAAGATGAAGCGTCGGCACGCGCAGCTGCATCAGACAAATAAGTGATGGAGCTCAAGGCTGCCATCACTGAATCCTCGAAAGAGAAAGAGCAACATGTGCGGTCTCAATTGCAAGCTGCTGACCGTGAGGCGGCCTTGAACGAAAGGGCTAAAGAGATGACGAGGACTATGGGTATGGAATCTTTCCAGTTTATCGAGAAAGCGTTGGACAAGCTGCCCAGGTCCCATCAGTTCGATATACCTCAGCTTGCACAGGAGGCGCCCGTGAGGCCAGTCATACAACCCCATTTTACTATCCCTGGCCCTTCCACCGGAGGTCCGGCCAAGCCCGGCATCTCCGGGAACGGTGTGCCCATGAGTACCGAGTTGACAGGCATCGTTGATGACATGACCCTTGTTCACTATCATCCTTTCACCAAGGCGGGACCAGAGAGGCCGCCAGCGGCCCAGGTGCCGGGTGGAGGTAAGGATTATACGCCAGCGGC